GGAACTCACTAAGCTTTGGCTTACAGTTTTAGTTTATTGTTCAGGTAGTTCAGAGGATTGTGGGACAGCGAAGGCATGATCGTGCACATCTTCCTGTTTTTATGACATTAGATCTTGGGATACTATGATTTTGAATAATACTTTTGAAACAATGGTTTTGTAACACTTTATCGATGAAATGGGTTGTTTTTGAAAAGTTCAAATTTATTGTGAATTTTTTGGGATGTTACTAGTTCGTATTAGCGCCTTGGTTTGAGAGAACTGGATGAACGTTCATGTGAATCCAGACTCAAACTAAGGAACTGTAAAATTTTTAAAAATGGTTTTCAAAATGGTTTTCTAAAGTAACCAAGGAAGAATACGATTTATACAATTAGTTGGAGCAAAAAAGTATACCCCAAGTTACATACACTGTTATTTGATATGATGTTTATGGTAGAACATCCTGCTAGTTGTAGGGTAGGGATCTTCAGGAATTGTATGATAGAATTGTCTGATGTATGATGCCTTATTCCTATAGATTTTTCTTTCGTATTTGTTTGCAGGACTCTTTCGGGTGTTTACTAACTATTAACTGAATACATTAAGTCACATGCTACATGGGTTAAATAATTTTAGAGGTTGTAGGGTGGAATCTTTTAATATAAGATTATTTAAGCTATGTTGCCTGTGATGGTATTCATGAACTAGTCAATTCGAACCAATGGGAGTCATTCGAAAATTGATGGCAGGGTGAGGTGTGGACCTTAGGATAGCCTAGGGAGTATGTAGTACTCATGATGCGCTTTTTAATGAGTGTTAGGAGTATCATTATGAGTTAGTATGGATGTAGCAGGCCAGTTTTGGAATGGTTAGCCTCCCTCGAGAGAGTGAGGATATGATGTATGTGTATCCTAGTTGTTTTAATTGTTTTGGGTGGTTGTGATGATTCCTGAGACAAAGACTAGTATGTGTGGAAGGTAGTATGGGCCCGTACTACTGAAAGGACATGACCTATACGCGTAGTAAGAAAGTCACAAACCTCGATGGGTAGTCTTGTCATGTGGTTGTAGCAATGTGTATTAGGGAAATTCTGATGCTTTTTGGTTCATTTTCAGTGTAGAGTTCACGAGGGGATCTTCTTTATGATATGGAGTTAACGGCCAAGATAGGACGGGGTTGACTATTGATCAGCTACGGGAGATGATTACTGTCGAGGTTTCGTAAATATTATAGGAAGCATTCTCTAGTTTCATGGATCGGATCACTGGTAGGCTAATTGCCAAGTTCTAGGAGCAAACTGTAGCTTTTCAGACTGTGAGAGGCACTGTTGAGATTACTATAGGGAGATCATGATATGGGGACACGACATAGAAAGATGAGGGCTCATTCAGCGATGGATGAAGAGTTCGAGGCTGCTAACATGGGTACCCTAAGTCAAGGGAGATATGATATCCGCAAGAAGTGTGGTGGAACCCACGGGTATACTTTTCACAAGTTCAAATGCTATAAGTATGGAGAAATAGGACATGTCTTTCGCGACTGCATGGGTAATGGAGGGAGTGTAAGCCCAAATGTCCACCGTCCAACAGGGGGTTTTCAATTTGTGTGGTAGCATGATAGGATTATTATGTTAGCATTATAGGTCGTAATGGCTCGGGGTTTCACCTTGCGGGGTGCTTCGTGCATCATAAAATAGGAGGGTCGTTCGTTAAGGGTTGGAAGTTGTAATTTTGGGAAGGCTTATAAGATACCCATTTAGCGTTCAGGATTTCTTTGCGATTGTTGGTTACTATTTAGGCATTGTGATATGTCGTTCTGTATACTGAGAACTATGTTTAGAGAGTATCAAGATGAACCATGTTTTTTTTGCTACGATGTGGAGAGTGTAGACCCTTGAGGGAGCAAGCATTGAGCGGGGGAAGACTGAGCATTCTACTCGGAGGATCAGATGCAGCAAGGTCCGAAGATCAACGACCATATTGATTTTGATAGGTTATGTGCGATGCGCTGAAGGAAGTTGTTGTGAAAGTTTGTTAGATTTTTGGTATTAGAGAATATTGAGATCTGTTATAAAAAAGATGATTAGGAGATTGATTTGAAGCGGGTGCACGATGAGTTGTCATAAGTTCCTGCTCTCGGGGTTGTGGACATAGTTCTTGCGTATGTGGCTTCTAGAAAAGATCTTGTTGCAGCCAACTATCCCTTCTAGGACAAAGAAATAGAGTTAAGAGGAATGCTTATTGCTCAAGTTGAATAGCAATTTAGGGTGTTAGGGTTGGAAAGGAGTCAGCCTAACCTTGGTTTTGATAGAATTCAAAAGTTTTGGTCCAGTCAGTTGAGAAGTTGTAGGATCGGTTCAATTATTAAGTTGAAAAGCTTAGGACTTGGATACTATGTTTTGTGAGAGAATAGTGAAAGTCTTAAAATTGTTTGTGAGTGACTAATTCCATGTGAGGGAGAACCACTTGGAAATATCGGTAATAAACTCAAATATGGATTATCTTGAAATTCGTATTTGAGGACAAGAGAATATTTGGTTTTAATCATAATTAGGAAAATCAAAGGCTAAGCATTTGGATTATCTCAGTCGGAGGATCTGGCTCGCATTAATCTTCGATTAAGCATTATTGGGGATGGATGACAAAACCATGGGCTGAGCCCATGCCAATGGTGGAAATGTTGTGAAACTATGAGGTAATCGTAACATTCCCTAAGTGGTAGTTGGGCCTAGAAGTATGGTAATTCTACGATTTTGCAGTAACATTCTTTGGGATAAGTTAGGTCGAGTTAGGAATCGTTGTGAGAATGTGGCAAGAAACGTTCGGAACCTTGAGCTTCAAATTCCAATGATTGAGTGGTGTCACGAAATGTCACAGACACTTGTAGGTTTCATCTATGTGATGGTAATTGTAATTTTGGTTATCAAATCGGAGGTAAGCCCGAGTGCAGTTACTGGTTAGCTAGGTCGAGGGTAGGCTCGAGTGTGGTCAGAGGACGACAGGGTTGTGAGCCGAATGAGTGCTTGGGTTAATCTGGTATGCGATTGATTAACTTTCGTTTAGGTTTCATCAGTGCATTCATATGTTAAGTAATCTTTCCACATGTTTTGAGGATTTTCCTAGTCAGGGACTAGGCATGGGTATGACAAGTAGATGATCACCAGTATTAGAGTGTTGTTTATGAAGTTTGGGATTTGTGGGTTCCTAGTTCCGGGAAGTGTATTGATGGAGTTAGTTGTGTGCGTAATACAATAATTTCCGTTTGTAGGGTTCTCACTGAAAGTTGGGTCTTCAGTTGAAGAAAGAAAGAGAGTCGTTTAACTAAGCAATTTCAAGTTATTGGTTGCTGGTAGTTTTGGGTTTCCACAAAGTCTCTCAAGTCATTCTAAGTAAAATGTTTTGACTTAAGGTGGGTAAAGGGAGTGTGGGATACTATGATGTGGTTGAGTTTCACAACAACTATCACTCCAAAATTGATGTGCCGCCATTCGAGCTTCTCGAGCTCCATTTTCGATGTTTTTTATATCCACGGGTTCGTAATTACGATGACTACAACTTTCTTTTAGATCTCAACAAGTGTATCGAGATCTATATTCATTTCACGTTTATAAACAAAGAGTAGACTCTTTATATCTTCGAAAATCATAACTTCTTCATATGAACTCTGTTTTGGATGTTCTTTATTTCTACGACTTTGTAATTACGAGTACTACAACTCTCATTTAGGCTACTTCACCTAAAACACAATATATTTTGCTTTCGTTTTATATAAACATATATGATATTTATAAAATGAAATGATCTTCCGAAATTCATAATTTTTCATACGAACTTCGTTTTCAACGTTCTTTATATCTATAGATTCAAATTTTTGTTTACTACAACTTTCATATGGACACATTGGCTAAAACGTAATGTACTGACAATCTGAATTCCATACATATACGTATATACTAAATTATACAATAAGATAAAAACAGGGTATTACACTAAAACGGTGTTATAGAAGCTAATTCGTTGAAAAAAAACATTTTTTAAAATGAATTGTGCATATTGTACACATTTTACATAATTGTTTTCTCGAATATCAATATGAAAAACGTTAAAAAAAATAATAAATTTATATTTTGTTTTTGTTTTTGGATAAAATTTAAAGTTTAAAATAATGGTTTAAAAAGCAATCTTAAAGATTAGTAATCCGAAACTTTACTCCGGCTTAATAAACTTGCCCGTGAGATTTTGAGATTTTCTTAATCATTTTTTGTTCTATTTTCCTTTATGCATCGATTGTATCATTTTATGATTCGTCGTGCAGAGCAATTTCGTTTTAGGGCTAAATCTTACTAGTCATAATTAATGGTTAATAATATTTAATTTAGTTGTTTGTTCCAAAAAAAAATTGCGTTCAAAAAAACATTATTAGATTTTAGATAAAAATTTGAATGTTGCTAAAGATAATGAGAATATCATGTATGTAATTACTAATATCTATAATACATCCAAATTACTAAGGTTTATTTAACAGATTGTCGTATCATTAGTTCATATTTCTTATAATTTTATAATATTTCCATAATGCATTGAAATTTTATAAAATTCAGTAGAAAATGTTTTTGTAAAGAATTCGTTTATTTTGTAATATTTTTATCTTAAAAAATTTAAATTTTTCAGTGGTTAAATAACCATGAACTCATTATCTATAACCATTGAACTCAATCTCTATTCCATATCTATCTATCTAAAGTGAAGGTAAGTTAGTCGAAATGGTATGGTTGACCAAGAGTTAATTCTACAAACAAAACTTAAGCTTTTACCTTCTTTGGCACATAATAAGACAAGCTAGATTCATAGTACACTACTGGCCATTTAAAATTACATAATTACGCGAAAGTACTACGAGTAACAATTTACATGATAAATCATCATCATCACCAATGAGATTTAGTACTGAGCCAGCTAGTAGGGCAAGAATGCCCTACATTACAGCCCTTATTAGTTTTTTTTTTTTTTTTTTTTTTTTTAGAGAAGAGGAGGACACACAAACCCAGGTGGAGGCGTCATCCCACAAGTTACCAAGGCTTGAAGAGCAAGAGGAATAAATATATTCAAGTTAAGAAGCTTAAGCCTTATGGTAGTGCAAAGACACACAGCTGCTTCTAACTCAAGCAAACCTTTAAGCACAGGGCAACACACGTTTTCCACTGGATTTCCTAATCCAATATGCACCAATCCTCCAAGAACATCCACACATGCCCCTAGCTTCAGGGCGTTTATCGGACATGTTGGCATAACGCCGCCCCCTCCGCCACCTCCTCCTTTTCCTCCACCTCCACCGCTTCCTCCGCCACCTTTTCCACCACTTCCACCACCCGTACCACCACCTGGAGGCGTGTACGGAGGGTACGAAGAAGAAGGTGGTGGGACTATCACTGGAGGAGTGATCACAGGTGGTGCTATGACCGGAGGGCTTATTATAGGTGGTGGTAAGATAGGCGGAGGTATTATAACTGGAGGAGGCATCACAATAGGAGGAAGAACAATAGGTGGTCTAGTAATCGGTGGAGGACGTACGATAGGTGGTCTAGTAATTGGTGGTGGAACCTTTGGCGGCTGTGTCTTCGGTGGTTTAGTTTTAGGCGGTGACACCTTAGGCCCTCCACCATGATGCGGTGGCTTGGCGGAGGGAGGGTATGGCCTTGGAGTTTTTGGTGGGCTAGGTTGATGAGGCGGGCTACAATTACAACTCAAGACTAAAGGTAACGACGAACTGGACAAGAATATCAAGAAGATGTAGAATATGGCGGAGATCTTAGAACCCATGATTAGTGTTTTGGAAGAAGGGTTGTATGTTTTAGGGTTCTATGGTATTACTCAAGATAGCTTTATAGATGTATTCGTAAATGCCAACCCGTGAAGGTAGAAGTGATGATGCAGAACATCACTTAGTAGAATTAGAACATGTCATCATCCTACAACTATAAAAATCAGGAATCGGAAGTGGAGGTTTTGGATTTTTGTTGGTGATTTTGCGAACTTCAAAACATGTCCGTGAAATTGTTTTCATCCGTGAGGATGTGGTGACAATCCATTGATTTCAGAAGCAGTCTAGTCGTGCACAGCTTTCCATGCAGCATTGGTTTTGTATATAAGTAGAATCCTTATCATTTAGCCTATCTTTCTGAACTCAGACTTAATTAATGGTTATCAAAGCAATGTAAATAGAATGCTTATTTAAATTTGACAATTTCCGATTTATAATTATGAAACTTCTGATTCGATGTACGTAAATAAAGCACCGAGAGTTTACAGAAGAGGCATTCTAAGTCCTAACCATAGAATTCCATTTTCGTGGTTCAAAAAAACGTGATTCCGTTTTCGGTTTCAAATTAAGTTTCGCATATCTCTTTTGATAGGAATCAGATAACAATAGCAATGTAAAATTCATAAACATATGTATAATCAATAAAAGAACAAACTATTGAAATCGTCATGTGTTCGTCAAAAATTGTGTGGTTGGTCTCTAATTTTTTTTTTTTTTTCACTTGGATAATCGCTATGGTATGTTTTTGTTTCGGTTTTAGTTCCTAAGAGACATGAAAGGATTACAATACCCTTGTTTTATTCTTTTTCCATTTATATATTATTCATTTACAATTTACAATTGCCTAACTAGAAAAAAAAAAAAAAAAAAAAAACACTACACCCACTACCATTGAACACCACCACCATTACCATCAACCGCCACCGCTAATACTGATGTTGACCGCCACCATTGCTATCAAACAACACCCACACCTACATCTATTACTTTTCTTTCCCCATCCATTCCACCACTTCCCTTTCTATCACATATCACACCTCACTAACAAAACGTGCAGATTTTTGCTACACCTGCATATTCTGACTTCACGTTCTCATTCCGAAACTACCAAAGAATACACCTGTAGATTGTAGAAAAAAACAATCTCAAAAAGGTTGTGAAAATCTAAATTCCGTCTTCAACCCAAATTCAGAAGCTTATTTGCAAACCATCTTCAACCCAAAAAACAAAACGATAACCCAAATCAAAACCCGAAATGGTAATCCAGATTCAAGATTAGGTTTCGATATTCGACTTAAATCGGAGCAACCACCATCATCGTCTCCTTCCTCTATAAGCTCCACCTCTTTTGTGAGCTTCATTAGTACAAACTCAGCCACCAACAACTCATGAACCAGGTGTGCTTCCATCGGTTTCATCAGGAACCACCTACACCTTATTTGGATTTTCTTCTATCGATTTCAGCTGAACCAGTCATTTGATTTTGAAGCTAGTGTTGTGTAACATCAAACAATTTAAAATTTTAAAATTTTAAAAGCAATCCTAAATCATCACTTGTTTACAAAATAGTTTTTCCAAAACATGTCAATCATCAGAGTTTTTTCCCAAAATCCTAAACAAAACATGGGGAGGTGCACGATCAATCATTCGCCTTCTCACGATCATCTGAGATACCTGAAACATAACCCAAAACTGTAAGCCCAAAGCTTAGTGAGTTTCCCCCAAAATATCAACACAGTACAAAAACAGAATAATAACAACAAACAGCACACACACAGAGCCTTCAGTCTGACTGGAATGCCCCACCGGTATACAATCTACCTGGTATGCTCACGGAACTTTCAGCATGACTAGTATGCCACTACGAGCCTTCAGCCCATCTAGACTGTTCTCTAGGCCTTCGGTCTGATTGGTACGCCCTACTGGCCATCAGTCTATCTAGGACACCATGGGTCTGTTGGCCTTCAGCAAAAAGCAGATCCGCCTCAACCCAACCACTCACACACCGTGTCGACACACATATATATAACAGATAACCATACAATTAACCACCCAATAACAAACAGATAGATCTTGCAGATCACTAAGCATAGCATCATCCTATCTACTAGGGTACAGATCTAACAAATCATTACAATACTCAATCATGTAAAAATCAGGATAACAATCCAAAAAGGGCCGGCCTTGGTGCCTTCGACCCAACAATTATAGTGAGGAACACTCACCTCACAAACTGAGTGGAGCTTATGAGGCCTGACTCCGAATCTCATCTCTTCACGATGCCTAATTCCATCAATAACCAATTTTTCATAAGAATCCTAGAATGAACAAAATACTCTCAAGGTCAAACTTGGTCAAGTCCACTGTTAAGGTCAACAGTCCATGTTGACCCACCACGTCGTGTTCCCTCTTGACCACGCTATGTTCCGCGAATAAATCAGTCAATGGGAAAACTTCATACAGCACGTCGTGTTGCCTTGCCAACACATTGTGTTGACCAGATATCCCACAGCTTAAGACATTTAGCTGCATTTTCGACCCCAAGAACTCCAAAGCTCATATCTGGACTAGGAATGCGATTAGGAAGGATAAAGTTTCCAAATTTATCCTTTAGGGCCGCCAAAAGGTCCAAAATTCCAAACTACGTGCTTAACCATGCAAGGGCTTAACCATAAAGTCCTCAATCCTTAAGATCCAAAGTCCCTTCCAACCAGAAGTGGTTCAACCATCAAACTTGTTCCAAAGATTGGTGCTTTTTAATACATGCATGTCCGATGCATGTCTTGAACCCATATTATGTCAAAAAGGGAATTCATGACCTACTTTCCATGCATGGCATCAAAACTTTGGTTGAAACCAGATCCAAGCCACTACAAGGTCTCGTTGACTTGGGGATTCATAAAGTTGTAGACTTTATGAGATCTCTCCATGCATCAACCCATAACAAAGAGAAAAGGGGACATGTCTCAAGAGTTAGTGACTATGAGTGATAAAAATCAGGACTTGGACACTAACAATGGTCCAAGAGAGTGCTACACTGAAGTATGATGTTTGCTAGCTGAATTCTTGCTTTCTTCTTTTACCTTCTTCCTTCAAAACACCAACTAACTTCACAAATGGAGAGGAAAAGATTAGGGCTTCTTCTTGAGCTTGAGAGGGCAAATGGAGGCTGAGGGTGGACAAACCCTAACTCCCATATTCCTTAAATATGGGAATAAACCCCGTAATATTAAGGTTTCACACGCAGCGGTCAACACGCGGTGTCTAGAGAGAAAACATGTCGTGTTGCTAAGCCAAAACACGCATATTTCAATTTCTAGACACACCATGTTGGTACCTCCAACATGCCATGTCTAAACCCCAATATTACAACCACTTGATCAATTATCATGAACTGAATGAGTTAGAAGTACCTAAACAATGGGATGTTACATGTTATGGTGGCCGGAAAGAAGAGGTATCTGAAACCCTAGATCATGAGGGGTGAGCTATTGGAGACGAAGATATGAGAAAATGAAAAAAAAATGTAGGTAAGGAGCTTTCCGGCATAGGCGGGTTTAGAACCAAATCTATGGAAATCAAAAATGTGACATCCCCATTTTCACGGCCAGAAAAGACCGATTTTGTTTATGCTTTATAAAATTCAGAGTACCTCTTTTAATAAAAATGTTACGGAATTTGTTCCCAGTAAAACATGATAAATACGTTAACAAAGCATTTCCGAAGAAAAGTATTTATATTCATTTTAAAACATTTGGAATGTTATCGTAAATACAGAAACATAAGCATAAACAGAACTTACATTCATTATCACTAGTGATTTATATCTCCTTAATCTCTCAGTGTAATGTGACTTTATATCAACACCTGTGATATAAATAAACTGAGTGGGTCAGGTTGGGAAACCTGGTGAGTACACAGGGTTTTCAACCCACAATAAATAAGATTATTAACTTTATCAAACCAAACAAACCCGATTACTCATTCCCGTTATCCTCACTTTACGTCCCTAAAACATCTAACACAAGGGACCCAATCTAAGGGACTTTCATCGGTGTGACAACACGTGCTTCAGGGGTTCCTCATCAATTCATGTCAAATAAGGCAACCATGTGGGGGATGGAATACTGCTGGTGAGCACACAGTTCAAATAAACATACAGTTCAAATAAACACCTACATGTTGCGAGTTTATTAGTGTTTCACTAGACTATCTAGAATAGTCAGTGGTTGTCATCTATACTCCGCTAGATGACTGGATCATCAATAACATCTATATTTAGGCCTCTCATTATTTTATTTGGTCACACAGCAACTATTACATCTACCCATGTTTTACCCAACACATTTTGTAGATATAAAATACATATACAGTTTAAATCATTTAAAACATGTATAAAATTGTTCATCTAGCATAGATAGAAAGTATACAGATAATATGCACACATAACACGTAATTTATATAAAATACTTCATATCTATGTGTAAGATGAAAGGGACCATACACTCACCTGAAAAGACAGTGAATCCGAACTCAGATAGCGCTTCGCTTCTTAAAAAATAATTTCCTTCGACGAAACCTAGTATTATTACCACTAGAGTTTAGTCTATTATTCGCCAAGACTAATTAATAGTCTAGCTATTGTTACCATCATATAAGCGTTAAACAATAATTATATAACCCATAATAATTGCCCAAGAACTTATTATAAGTTCCTAATAACATTACTATAATTAAATAAAAGCTATATTAAAAATAGCGTAAGCATAGCTCACTTACAGCGGGTTTTATAAAAAATCGGGTTTTGCTTGGAGCAGCGTTCCTGAGCCAAAAAGCTCTTCTTCTCGGAGCCTTCGAGCACTACGGGGCTTCCGCCTTGTGCTAGGGAGGTTCCCTAGGCTTTTGGGGGGTTTCGGGGCTAGAGAGAGCTTCTTGAGAGAGAGAGTAAAGAGAAGAAAGAATGGGAAAGGTGTGAAGAAAATGAGGGTGAGATAGGTTC